TAAATCCGTGACACTAGATCACTAACAAATAAAAATGAATACACGTCCAGAGTAAATTTTACAAAACAGCATTGAAATGATTGTCGACGCTACTCCAGGCTGTGCCAAAGCGACGGTTAGGAGATGAACGGGCTTTCTGCCTTCGTCTGCCTTGACGAGGCGCCGCGGTCTGGGTGGCTTAGTCCACAGACCTTGGTTTCCTCGCAGTTCTGGAGGCTGGAAGTGTTGGGAGGGTTGGGTTCTTCGGTGGCCTCTCGCCTTGGCTTGCGAATGGCCACTTTCTAGCTGTGTGTTCAAGTGGTCGCCTCTCTGTGTGGGCACGTGTTTGGGGTTTCTGTCTGTGGCCCAAATCCTCTTCTCGTAAAGACATTAGTCAGTGGATTGTTGCCCATTCTGAGGACCTCGCTTTAATTTAATTTGCTGTTTAAAGGTTTTCAAACACAATCACATTGTGAGGACCCGGGGTTAGGACTTTAACATATGCATTCAGCCCATAACATTTTCTCTAGTACAATGTTTTCTTCTTGGAAGTTCACGAAGTTCAACTGTATATGATTGATAACCAAAGTCTTAAAAAATATTCAGTATGCATCTCTCACATACCCACCATTTTATACATTATTATTTTTTAAAAATATGTTTTTACTGATCTCAGAGAGGAAGGGAGAGGGAGAGAGAGATAGAAACATCAATGATGAGAGAGAATCACACCTCGCATTGGGGATCAAGCCCCACAACCCAGGCATGTGCCCTTGACTGGAATTGAACCTGGGACCCTTCAGTCTGTAGGCTAATGCTCTATCCACTGAGCCAAACCAGCAAGGGCTAGACATTACTGATAATCCTAAACTGTCATCTTGCAGACATTGGCTGATAATATTGCACTGTCCTGTGGAAATCTGCCGGCAGGTGCAGATGGACGCGTGATGGAGGAGACCAAGCACAACCTGGAATGGGGTGTCTCCCGTCAGAGCCTGTGTCGGTCTCACCACCTCCAGCCCTTGAACTTTGAAGATTTCGGTGAGTTGCTTTAGAGATCTGTGCTGAGACTGTTGGGCTAGAAGGTAAGCTAGAGGGGTGGCCAAGGGAACATCCCATATTGCTAGGGGCCTGGAGTCTCCTTGCTTACCTGTAGCTGCTGGCTCCGGTGAGTAGCCTCTCACCTCGCCCAAGCTCTGCTCCCCTTCTCATCCTCTTGTTCTTTGCAGGAGAGGAAAGAGCGGAGTGGTGGATGCCACTGGGGTGTGCTAGGCGGCCGGCAAGGATCCATCCAGGAAGGTGTGGGCAGGTGGGAGTGGGTCACTGGTCTTGCATAGGCAGTTTGTTCTGCAGTGGCAGCTGAAGAAAGAGCCCCCGCCACATCCTCGCTCCAGGTATCCCCCAGCAGCCACTCATGTACCCCCCTGCTCAGGCCTCCCCTGGCTCAGGGCCTGCTTTCTCACTTCCTGCTCTTACCTTTCCAACCCGACACTCAGGTCCGCTGTTCTGGCTCAGAGTTTGGCTTTCCTTCTCGACTAAGATTAGGTTCTTTCCTTAGGCTCTGGGCTTCATTGTGAAGAATTCCTGTGGCTCTGGCCTTGCAAGAATTTTCAGAGTCAGACCCTACATTCCCACCCACCCTTCAGCCGAGAGAAGTCTCACTGCTGCCTCGGCACCTGCGGAAGCAGGTGGTTCTGTCTCTTCTTGTGAAGCTCCCATCACCGATCATGTCCAGGTACCCAGGTAGGGTTTGTCGCTTGAATATCTTTTTTTAAAATATATATTTTTATTTTATTGATTTTTTTACAGAGAGAAAGGGAGAGGGATAGAGAGTTAGAAACATTGATCAGCTGCCTCCTGCACACTCCCCACTGGGGATGTGCCCGCAACCAAGGTACATGCCCCTGACCGGAATCGAACCTGGGACCCTTCAGTCCACAGGCCGACGCTCTATCCACTGAGCCAAACGGGTGAGGGCTGTTGCTCAAATATCTGAAGTGCCATCTGGTATCGGGACAGCCTAATGAAGACTGCCTGATTGTAATGGAGTGCACATCTCTGTAGGAACTGGCCCCGCACGTTAGAACAGTAACAACAGCTCCCCTGAGCAGGGCATAGTGCACGTTGCTTTACTCCATTATCTCCACTCCTCACCCTGAAAAAGCACACATATTCCCAATTTTATGGATGAGAAAACTGGTTTCCAGAGAGCAACTTCACACAGTGGAACGTGTCAGAGCATCGACTTGGGCCCACGTATCCCAGCTCCCGGGCCGCACAGGCCTAAACGGAGGTGCGGGTGTATGTGAAAACCAGTCCTAGCCCAGCCTTAGCCCTTGTCCTCGTTCTCTACAGATTTATTGCACTTTCCTCAAGTCCCAATTCGAGCTCGCTCAGCAGCCTCCGTCAGCACGCTCCCCTTGGTACTCCGCACGCAGTTCCACTAACACAGCTCCTACGGTGACCCTATTCGCTGAACTGCTTTGAGAAATGTACGAAACTCAAACTGGCACATAAACGCGAGAGGAGGTATTGCTGCCGCTATCTCCTGGGGGGCCTTGATCTGTGACCTTCCCTTTCTCAACTCTGCCTCAGGCAGATCGCCCCCTGCACCTCACAGAAAGTGTTTGCATTTTAAGCCCACCTCCCTTAAAATCTTAAACATATCTTTTCTTTATTTTAAGAACAAAATAATACATTTGGGAACGTGCCAATTTAACTTGGAGTCTTAAAATAAGTGTAAAATTGTGAGGTTGTCACGGTCGTGTTTGTTAAGTAGAATTGGCGTTCTTGTTCCATGGTATTAATAAAGGATGAGCGAAATACTTTGTATTTTCTTAAGATGCAGTTTGCAAAGAGATTTTCTTCTTTGGTCCTTAAGCATCTCTATGAAGATGAGGCAAGTTGGTCTTCTACAGAAGAGGACCAGGCTCCGAGGGGCACAGGACTTGGGTGGTGCTGCAGCTGATATGGAGACCGGAGGTCCTTAGAGCTCAGACCTGTGCCCTTTGACTGTATCACATACTAGATTTATTTCCCTTTTATCCAGAGGGGCTCCTGCCTTCTCCTGCGGTTCATGTGCTGCGATGAAAGAAAACCTCATTTTCCATGTAGTTCTGTCCCAAGTAGATCCTGGAAAATGATCTGGGGTGTGTCCAAGGTGATCCTTGAGATAAACTTAACCTTGCAAGTGTTGGGACATTTAAGTAGTTGCTAGCGAAGAGACTACTCTACGTAAGCAGGACTGAGGGTAGGCTTAGGACCGAAAAGACCAAAAACCTTAATTTCAGTTTCAAGCATACGCAAAGTAATATAATTAACTGCCAGAGGAATTACACTACATAAAAACATATGCAGTTAAAAATCACACAGCATTTTATTACTCACCAAAGTTCCTGATGCCGTGGGTACAGGCTTAACGGGATCCCGGTGGTGGTGTCCTCTGGGGCTCAGCAGTTGGGCTGGTCCAATCTGGATGCAGGGGCTGAGAGCTTGGTCGCGTCTGGATCGAGAGGTACTAGCTGTTCTTCTGTCGTTGGGCAGGGAGCAGAGCGTGGAGTGGCACAATGTGGCGTCGTCTGTCGGACTGGCAGAAGGACGTGCCTTTGTGGCTGTCTCGACAGGCAAGCACTGTTGACTGGTCAGGACCCGTTTTTAAAGCCTGTTTGTACCTGCAACAATTCAGGTGGCTATCAGTGAATTACGTCAATGCACACATGTTAATCTTAACAGGGTGAGGGGCTACATGTGGTTATCAATCGGGGTGTGTACTCAGGTGCATTTCTGGGGAAAGTATGGGTTTGTGTCACTCACACATATGGCTATCATAGTGATACGGAATTTTTGAACTGAAACCCGGATTCTTTGTCCGCCGGAATCAAAGAATGAATCCACGGACAGAAAGTGGTATAGCAAAGGTGGAGATTTATTGAAGAACAAGTACAGACTCCCACGTGGGGAGAGGGAAGGGGTCCCAAAGAATGGACTGGACTACCATGTAGGGAGGGGGAAATGGGTCCCACTGAGTTCCTTTTCCCTATGGCTTATAAAAGCTGCAGATCCTGGTGCCTTGATATCCCTTCTGATTGGTCACTATTCCCTTAGACTGGGCTCAAAGGTTGAACCTCACATGGGACATATGAAGCCCCCCCCACTTTCTTATTGTTTTGCTGTTCCCTTTGGGCTTTCTTCCTCTCTCCTTCTGGATGAATGGCTTCCTTCTCTTTATTTTGTAAATATAGACCGGTTGCTGTTCTCAGCTCCCTCATTCTATGGAAATGTATCTGTTGCAGCTTTCCAGCTCCCCCATTCTATGGACATATACCTTCTGCTGCTCTGCAGCCCTGTGCTTTCCTCCATGGTCCCCTTAATTTCCAAAATTTCCTAAACCTGTCCTATCTTATCCCTAAAATTCCTGTTTCAATAGCAAGTCACTCTAAGTCAGTAATCGAACTTCAAATCCTTATCTATGGGATACACACGTTTAGGGTAGTGGTGTATGTGTCCTTAATATCACACTTTAAGTTTCAGGAAAGTTAACTCAAACATTTTGAAACTTTTTAAGACATTTCTATATATTACTACAACAAGTTCGCATGTCCTTAGATCACACCAAACAGTTGTGGACAAATGCACACCGCTCTGCTGGCTGTGATGGGACAGAGATGTCCCTGAAATGACCGTGAGGAAAGTCTCTAAGCCTCCTCTGTTCCCTCGAGGCTGGAGATGCAACACAGTCTCTTCCTCCAGCTTCCTAGTCCCCCGGTGCAACAGGTGAGGGGCATCGTCCATTCGGACTGCAGGTGTCACCAGTCAGGTCAGTGGCGTTCAGAGCAACCCTGGCCTCGAGAAAGCTCCTTGCTTCCTCACAGCTGCGACAGGAAAGAACAAATCTTAAACCCACTCTCTTGACCCAGGATTGGAGACTGACCTTCTTCTAGGTTCGGGACCCAGTCTGGTAGTATGTGACCTTCTGCTGTTTTTGTCCATGAAGTGAGATCATATGAGAACAAACCAGCCATGCAAAGAGGAAGAGGAAACAGGAAGTGGAAAGCCCCGAGGAGAGCATGAGCAGGGTGAGCTGAGGAACAGAAAGGAGACCGGTGTGACTCACGCAGACATTAGCAACTTCTCTCACAGAGGGCCACTCAGTCCACAGTTGGACTCTTATGGGCCATTGGGTCTTGACTGCAACTACTCAGCTATTGTGCACAAAAGCCACCCTGGGCAGTTCACACACAAATGAGTGTGGCTGTGATCCAGCGAAATTTTATTTAGGACACTGACATTTGAATTGCATATCATTGTCACATGTCACAAAACATTGCTCTTCTTTTGATTCCTTTCCCCTCTGTTTTAAGATAGAAAAACCATTCTTAGCTCAGTACCAACACTGGCATTGACTGGCTTTGGCTTGGGGGCTGACCCCTGGGCTGAAGCACAGGGAGTGAATGGTGAAGACAGGAGTCCCAGATGCAACCAGAGAGCGTTCGGTAGGTGGGGCCAGACCATGTGCAGAGGTGTTGTAGGCCATTGGAGGGAGTGTGGGTTTTATTTCAATCACGGAGGGGGTGTGTGTGTCGGGGGGGTGGGCACAAGCCTGACGGGCTCTAGGCAGGAAAGGGACCGATATATTTGAGTAACACTCTGTTGCATCTGAATCCAGGATGGACTGTCAGGAAGCAAAACTAGAAGCAGATGCCAGTGAGGATGCTCCTCCCTCAGACCCAGCGGAGACTATAAAATTCTAAAATGAGAATCAGATCCCCACCCTCGCAGGGTAACACTCGGGGTGATAAGGTGTCCAAGCACCCAGCAGAGTGCCAGGTGCATAGGATGTCCTCAATGTTAGTTCTATATGCTTCCTTCCTTCTCTGGTGGTAAAAAGCTGGGTATATGGGTTTAGTCCAGATATCTCACTGTTCTCAGAAAAAGGGGTCATTCTGCTAAACATTGGTCAGGTAATGTCATTAAAAGCAAGCAGACATACCCTTAAGTTTTGTTAATGACCCTGTAGGATGTATGTGTATATTCATATTTTTGTTGAGCCACATGGAATAACTAATTTTTTTCCTGTTTAAAGTTTATCAAGATCACTGGCCTTATTGTTGCTCTGAAAACACATTTAGTTTTTATCTATTTCGTTTTCCTCATTACAAGTTTTAATATATAAAAAAAGGGTTGAAAAAATTATCCTTAGGTAAAGAGAGAGAAAACAAAATTACATTTGATCATTTTTGTCAGAATTAACAAACAAAACACTAGTCTTTATGTGCCATTCCATTTTTCTCCCAATCTCTTGATTGCTCCTGGCATTGGATAGGAATAAAAATGCAAGAAACACCAAATCAGGAAGTTGCCTGATATTAGAAAATTATCAACTTGGAAAGGGGATAAATTACATATGGGACCACACAGGACTGTGAGGTTCAGAGGAGGTATGATAAAAATCAAACCAACCCAGAATCCGGGTGTTAAATGAAATACTGTAGTTATAGGGGTAAAGATTTTATACCTACTTGACTTTATGCACTCGGGAAGGTAACGGTGGTTAGTCGGTAGTTATTAACATTATACATACACAGCATCAGAATAACTATGACCGTCATTCTTGGCCTTTGAAGGCTGTGGGGGAGTCCCCCCCGGGTTCTTGTGGTTCTGGTGGCCCCAGCATCCCGGGGCCTGCAGCACCATCCCTGCAGTCTCAGCTTTTGTCTTCTCTGCTCTGTCTCTCATAAGGACACTTGTCTTTGCATTGAGGGCCCAGCAGGACAATCTGGAATGATACCATTTCCAGACCCTTCACTTAATTATGTCAGCCAAGACCAATTTCCAGTAAGGTCACAGTCTCAGGTTCTGGGTGTGAGGATGTAGACCTATCTTTTGGGGGGGGACATCATTCAAGCCACTACAACAGTGAGTTCTGTCCTTGTCAAAAGGTGACTTGAGGGAACTGGCAGCATAATTTACCTCCATGCAACCTGCAAGTTGATACATTGCCCTAAGATGATTTCCTCATTGTTTCCACGCAGGGGTCCTCAAACTGCAGCCCGCAGGCCACATGCAAATACAAATATTGCATTTGTTCCCATTTTGTTTTTTTACTTCAAAATAAGGTATGTGCAGTGTGCATAGGAATTTGTTCAGAGTTTTTTTTTTTAAACTATAGTCCGGCCCTCCAACGGTCTGAGGGACAGTGAACTGGCCCCCTGTTTAAAAAGTTTGAGGACCCCTGGTGCCAGTATGCAAATCTTACCTCCTTAACTAGTCCTAGGTTTTGTGTTCAGTACAGGCCTTTTAAAATGGAATTCATTAACCTGATTCTTAGCTAGGCTGATGTTTTTCTTATGGTTAGACTGAATGCCTTAGTTTTTTATTGCTGCAGTAGCAAATTATGACAACTTTAGTGGCTGAAATAACACAAACGTATTACAAGTCTGTAGGTAGAAGCCTGACATGAGTCTGACGGGGCCAGAATCCAGGTGTCAGCAGCGCTATGACCCTCTCTAGGGAGATTCTTTTTCCTTGCCTTGTCTGCTTCCTTGGCTGGTGGTCTCTTCCTCCATCTACGCCCCCAGCAACTCTTTCTGACCCTTCCATTTCTCCCATTGCATTCCCCCACCATCCCCTCCCCCCTCCCCTCTCCTCTCCTCTCCTGAGACAGTAAAGGCTCTTCTCTTTGAAGAACTCATGTGATTAGGTTGGGTCTACCCAGATAATCCAGAATAATCTTTCCCTCTCAAGATCTGTATCCTTAATCTCATCTGCAAAATCCATTTTGCCATAAGGTAATATACTCACGGATTCTCAGGTTTAGAAAGTAGACGTGAGGGACCATTATTCTGCCTACTGCATCGGAGTGATGGGTTTAGGGGAGGAAGCCTACAGAGGTAAAGTGTCATTCTCATCGCATCATATTAGGGGTGCATGCTGTCAACACGGTTTCTCACTGATGGCGGTGACTCTGATCACCTGTCTGAGGCAGTGCTGTCAGGTTTCTCCATTGCAGTTCTTTCCCCTCCTGTTTCCACGCAGTACTCTCTGGAAGGGGACGCCGTGCCGCCCACACTTACTGGTGAGGTGCTACAGTTATGTCCCCACCTACTCGTGGGCCTACATAAAATTGTTTAAAATTCTTCTCTATGGGTTATTTGTCTTTCTATTATCAAAGATTTATATCAGTATGGATTCATAGATATTTATACTTTGAGTTTTCACAATATTTATTGTTTATTTATTTTTTTGTTCAAATTGTTTCAGCACATGCCCTAACTGGTTTGGCTCAGTGGATAAGAGCGTTGGCCTGTGGACTGAATGGTCCCAGGTTCAATTCCAGTCAAGGGCACATGCCCAGATTGTGGGCTCAATCCCCAATAGGGGGTGTACAGGAGGCAGCTGATCAATGAATCTCTGTGATCAATGAATCTCTCTCATTATTGATGTTTCTCTCTCTCTCTCCCTTCCTCTCTGCAATCAGTAAAAATATATTAAAAGAAAATTGTTTCAGCACAGGCTGTCCAGTTGGCTCCTGTGTTCCTTTGACATACCTCCTTCATTTTGTGTTTTGAGGACTTCCTTACTTTCTGGCACCAGGCTCCTTGTGTATTCCCTACCCCAGTCCTAGACTCCATCAGCTCTCCAAGGAGCTCTGGTTTCTTTTATTGGAGAGTGGATTTAGAAACCAAGATCTGGGTTTGGGTTCATCCAGTGAAACATTCCTCTCAAATGGTGTACTTTTTATGTTAGAAATTCTATTTGGTTCTTTTCAATATCTTCCATTTATTTCCCCATTAGGTTCATATTTTTCTTTAAATAGGTGTTTTAATAACATCTCACTTTGCTGATTCCATCATCTGTGGCTTTTATTTGTGTCTTTTCTGATTGATTGCTCTTTCTT